AAAAAAAAAAAGCACAGCACTATGTAGCTATCAGCCACCACTGAAAACATAGTTCACTCCCTGGCCAAAGAGGTGACCCACACAGCACAGCTGACTTCCCTTGTCTCACATGCTGATCTCCTCAGCAGTGTATTTCAGTTGATCCTCCTGTTCTGCTCCCCACTCACTCTGGTGAATTCTCTAAAATCACCCCACCCCAGTTCTTGTATGCATAATTAAATCTTTTTTAAAAATCTGATTTAAAGTAATACCTGAGAAGTTACTGACGTACTCCAAGTTTTAAATAGATGTGATAATAATTTGTCACATTTAGATGTGATAATAATTTGTCTTCTCATATTTTTTATTTCTTCAAAGTGTGATTCTAGTATGAAAATATATGGTTTCAAATTATCTATTACTACAAACTATTTATCACTTTACATTTGTAGCTTTCTCCAAAAAACACTTTCCCTGATGTTTAGAGTGATTTGATTCTGTCCACATTTTTCACATTTTTAACGTTCCACTCAAAGATACAATTTCTGATGTTGACGAAGTTTTGCCTTCTGCGTAAAGGCTTTGCCACACACTTCACATTTGTGAGGTCTCTCCCCAGTATGAATTTTATGATGTTGAGTAAGAATTGACCGCTGGTTAAAGGCTTTACCACATACTTCACATTTGTAAGGTTTCTCCCCAGTATGAATTCTGTGATGTTGAGTAAGGTTTGACTTCGTGTAAAATGCTTTGCCACACACTTCACATGTGAAAGGTTTCTCCCCGGTATGGATTCTAAGATGTACTCTAAAATTTGACAGCTTGTTAAAGGATTTCCCACATTCTTCACATATATAAAGTTTCCTGCCATTTTGAACTCTCTGATGTTGCTGCTCAGTAATCTCTGGATGCAAATAAGGGGCTTTATACTCTTCACACTCTCCCTGATGTTGAAGGAATCTTGAGCACCATTTGTTAGCTTTGCCATATCCTTCACAGTTGTACGGTTCCTCAGGTACTGTGTGAAGTTGCAAAAGTTTCGAGGACTCAACAGGATACCATGTAGTATTTCTATCTTCCCATTTATATCTCTGGTGTTGAAAATTATTTGACTGAAAGCATAAACCTGTCCCATATTCAGAATGTCTTGAATAAATATTTGCCTTATGGACTAGAGGACTTCCCCTATACTCCAATCTTCCTCTTAGCAGATATGTATTGTTAAACATTTCATGTGGCTCTCTGCTTACAGAAACATATTTATCTATACACGCAGCAGAAGCAAAATGGGGTTTGACCCAAAATGTTTCACACGCTTGATCTCTTCTCACAGGAAGAATTGCATTGTGGGTAACTGTCTCTGCTTGGCTAGAATCACTACAGCAACTTGGCTGCCGCTCAGTTGCCCCCTGACAGGTCTGGTCTTTCATTAGCTCTAAGTTCTCATAGGCACAGCTTCCATGTCCTCCCAGTCCCACTTCTGGAAATGAATCTTCTGTGCCTGACTGTGGCATGAAGAGCTGGATATCACTAGAAGAGATGGCTGGAAGACAACAAGTGACTAATTACCACATTTATAGC